CCTCCCACCCCCCAAAAAAAAAGCAAGTCCCGCTGCAGCCTTTCCTCCTGCTTTTGCCTCGTGCCGTTTGCCTCCTTTTTTCCAGCCCTCCTGCCTCCTTTTTTCCAGCCCTCCTGCTCCCTCCCCTCCTGGAGCAGGGAAAAAAGCTGCCCCTGGGCCTGGCAGGAGGTGCTGCCTGCTCCTGCCTGCGCTGCCAGTCCTCCCTGAGCCCAGCCCTGCCCCTCTTCAACCAAAGTTGTTGGTTTTGGGTTTTATTTTCATTATTTTTTTTTAATCATTCCAAACACCAGCCCTTTCTTTCCCCCTTCGCCGCTGGTGCCCGACGTTTTGCACTATTTTTGTGAACAGGTTTTCTATAAAAAAACAAAAAAAAAAAAAAAAGGAAAAAAAAAAAAAAAAGAAAAAGAAGAAAAGGAAGCGTTTTGTACAGCGGGGTTTGTATTTGATTAATATATTGAGTTCCTCTTAACTGCACTCGTTGCCTCAATCTATGCAGTGGTTGGTGTTCTCAGAGGGCTGGCTCGGCCTGAGCTCTTCTTTTTATATGGAACCGAGGTTTTTTTAGCGTTAAGTTTTTGACAATCAGTTGATTACTCAACCCCCCCCTCCTCCCCCCTCGCTGTTTGACCTAATTAGCACCTCATCTGGTGAGCGATGGGGGGCAGAGAGAGGGGCAGCTCTGTCCCCGGGAGCCTGGGGGGGAGTCAGTGCATGGAACTGGAGATTTGGGGGGGCAAGGGGACCACAGCGCCGGGCTGAGGGGACGGTGCCACCCCCCGCTGAAGTGCCTTAACCCCACTGCCCCCCCCAGCCCCGGGGGTCACAGGCAGAGGGGATTTGGGGATGGGGGGGGGGGCGTTTACATATTCCCAGGGTGGACGGCTCAGGGGTGCCTGCTCTGCCTCTCGTGTAACCTTTTTTTTTTTTCTATTTTGGATATTTTCTAATAAAACCAGTTAGCAGCAGCTCTGTGGGTGTGTGTGTGGTGGGTTTGTGCAGCCCCCCCCTTTTTCCCCCCAAACGGGCACAGACGTGGCCATAGCAGCACTTTATTAGAGAGACAACACAGCCCCAGCCTCACCGTTACTTCCACAGCTTCTTGATGGACATGTTCTTCTCGCTGTCCTTCTGCATCACCTGGGCAGGGAGGAGAAGACAGTTGGTTCCCAGCCTTCAGCCCTCATTTGGGTACTAATTACCCCAAAAACCATCCCTGAATCATAGAATTCCCTCCTCTGGACCCTCTCCATCAGGTCCATGTCCTTCTTATATTGAGGGCTCCAGACCTGCACACAATACTCCAGGTGAGGTCTCACCAGAGCAGAGTAAAGTGGCAGAATCCCCTCTCTGGACCTGCTGGCAACGCAGCTTTTGATGCAGCCCAGGATGTGGTTGGCCTTCTGGGCTGCAGCTGCCCACTGCCTGCTCATGGCCAGCTCATGTCCTAAACCAAGCTTCAGCCCTGCACGGGGAAGACCCCACAGCCTCTGACCAGGAAAGGTCTCTTCCACGTCCCTCACATGGGGTCAACCCCCTTCCCACCACTCTTTGTCCCCCTTCAACCTTTGCAGCTCCCAGGTCCTGACAGCCAGTGCCCAGGACAGTTTATGCCCCCCCCAGGAAGGAGCTGTGGGTGGAGGAACCCCCCCATTTCGAAGTCTTCTTGTGTGACGTGCACCCTCCTCTCCCTCAGTGCGTACATCCCAGCTTCCGTGCACACCCCCTGTGAGGGACAGGGACGTCACACACCGCTCCCCACCTCTGCCAGCCCCCCCAG